CCCTTGAGGGCCCCGGAAAAATTCAAGTTGTTTTTGGTTGTTGGAGGTTGCTTGGATAGGATTCGGGTTACAATACAGAATTACGGTGTCATCCGGTGTGAGCAGTAATGATTGTGTTGGGATCTATGGGAAATTCAACAGTGTAAATGGAACACACAATGGGACATGCGGGACGCCGGAAAAACTCAAGGTGTTCTTGGATAGGATTTTTGCTAAAAGATAGAATTCCTGTGTGATCCGCATAGGCCAATGATGCTGGGATGTATACGTAATTCGCATTATAAATTGTTAGTTAACGGGATGTGACCACGAATGCTCCCTTGTAGGGCACTGGCTTGTAGTGGTTGATATGTGAGTATTCTTTGCCGCACCTCATTCGGTAGCAACAGACAGTTAAATACGATTACAGGAAAATGTAATAAAGAGTTTGTAAAATTATTTAAGATTATGGAGCCATATCAAAACATTGATAATGCAAATTACGGGTGACCACCCCCCCCTGTCGAACCCCCCCATTGTGAATAAAAAACACGTGATGTCAGAACGCAAAATAAAGGTGGCCATTCACGATCGTTCCAAGCAGTCCAAACGGAGCGACGCCGTTCCAAAAACCACNTTAAATAGTTCCTCCAATCAGCGGGTTCAAGGGAAAGTTCTTTCATCAAATTGATGTTGGTATTACGGCTTCTGTTCAGGAGCCACTTCTTACACCATTTCCTTTTCGATTTTTTGCTTTTAATATATAAATAAACAGAAGCGTAGCACATGAGATCGTCATCCATTTTGAGAATGTAATTCACTGGTTGAAGTTCGGAGCGACTGGCTGTGGAGCAGTCGTGAATGCCCCTCGAATTTCAGGTACTCCAAATGGAGCTGTACGGCTTGGCGCGGTTCCATGTGGAGTGATCGTGAATGGCCACCTTAAGAGTGGTCACAACCCTCTTCGGTCAAACCTCATGGCGAATGAAAAACACGTGACGTCACAAAAAAGTTGTTTCCAGGAAATTAATATATTTTTCTGGTAATTTAAGAAATTCTTTGATCGGGGTTTCCCAGACCTGATGGTTCGGGACACCTGGGTGGGCGAGGAGCAGGGTGAAAACTGTCTGCCCCAAGTGACAAGATTTGCTAGTCAATTTTGACATCGACATTGATTGGCATCACTCACAAATTTTATCCAGGGGAGATGGCTCACCTTTACAATTCAAGACCACTGAAAATTGCTCGATCAGTGACGAAAATCGGTTTGGAATAGATAAAATTGTGCGTAGAAAATAGTTTAAAATACGATTTCAAGCCTCACGACCACGTCACACCACTCATAAATTTTATCCAGTTGAAATGGCTAGCTAACCTCCACTGTTCAAAATCATTGAAATAGCTCATTAAGGGCCAAAAACATGAAAAACGTCAACAAAAATAAATAAAAAATAACGAGATGCTCGAAAACATGTTGCTACAAAGGTCATTCTTGTATGATTAATTGCATTTATTGTCTACAATAATAATAAAGGCCGAAACATTTCTCACGTTTAGATTTTTATTCGCATTTGACAAATGCAAGGAACACTAATTTGCCCCTTATTTTCTTTCCACATTTGCGAAATATCTCAAGAAGAAAAAACCCATTACCAGTGCCTTTATTGGATTTCATACAATATGCGGGTGCAACTCGTGCAGAAAAACTGTACATCAAAGAGAAAGAAATTCAACGTCGGAAAGGTGGAAAAGTCAGTCATGCTTTACGGTCATGGCCAAAGAGTCCTGGACAATGCTTATGAGCGGTATACGTCAACGGCAAAACATGCGCTTTACCCCCTTTGCGGTACGAGGCTACGGCCCGATAATTTATTTACTACCGCAACCCTTGGAAGTTAGTTTCCTTTGTTTACAGCAATCTATCTGATTAAAACGTATTTAATGCTGTCTTGAACATTTGTCAAGGAGGCCGCCTAGACGAATTATATTTCCTTTTTTACCATAATTAAAATTAAACTGGGATAAAGGCGTTTTTAATAATCAGTTTTCGTACCTTCCCCTAAAAAAAAACACATTTTGTTGCAAAGGAAAAACTCGCATTGCATTACAATTCCAATTTGTACAACCAAGTATGGTCGCCAGAGCTTGGATATCCTCAAATATTTAGTCCCGAATTAACTAAACCAACAGGTTAATCAAAGCGGATTTACCAAGCCCGGTGCGACACATTGTTAACCCTTCGAAAAACTGAAATGACATAAACAAGAAATTTAGGATGGTTTCTTTAGTTTTATTCGTGTTAAAAGATAGTTTCTCTTCAAAATATAATTGACAATATTTCACATACGTAAGTCTTAACCCTTTACTGCACTACGTAGCCTCAGGGCAACACCAAATTTAGCAAATTTCCTAAAGCTAGTCACACGTGTTTAGAGTGGGTGCTGTGTCTTCCTTCCATGTTTCATCCCGAATAATGAAACCAGTGATTTTGTTTTAGCGCCCATCTAAAATCTCCATCTTGGAATCTTCTATCTCCAACATGGTTTCACCGCACAATCTCGTATCGATTCTTATATTTGCCCAACATTAAATTTTTCATATACCATTTGTAATGTAATACATCCCTGCTCAAAGTTGCTTCAAAGCAATGCCAACGTTAGCAATTTTGTTTAAGGTTAGCAGGAAATCCTGTAAGTTTCGGTCGGGCGCAGTGTTCTTCCTGCTATGTTTCTGCCCGTGTATTGGCAACACTGATTTATTTGTCGCATATCTAAACTTCGGGCCATAAAGGGTTAAATTAAGTCCGGACCATCCGGATACATTACACATTTTAAACTGTACGATTAACCTATCCTAACTTTGAAATTACTCTACCTCAAAGGGACGAAAATTAAGAACACATTTTAAACATGACTAAATAAACAATACCCGAGGAAGTAAAACTCATTAACCCTTTATATTTTGTTTATACATCTCTTTATAAACCTAGCCAGCAATAAGCTCTGAAAAATATGTGACTCAAAGGAAAGAAGATTAAGAAAAATAAACGAAAGCTATGTAAACATATTTTTAAACTTGTGGTTGAATCATTCTAGGTTGTATGTTGTTTCAATAATTCATTTATTGAAAAATAAAACTATATCATTTACACTTGCTACCATTACACATAGAAAGCCTCCTGGACATGACCTACTTCCAGTTTAATTCGAAACCTTTCTCCGTGGATGATAGTGTTTTAAAGACAATAAAGTGACCTTCTCTTACGGACGTTTTCTGTCGTTATTCTTATTCCTAAAGCTCACAAACGTCCCATTTTTTTTCCAATTAACTAAATACTTGCTTTCCAGGAATAGCCCGATGCCCATAAAATCCAAGACGGTGTGGGTCTCCTGGCCCTAATTTTTTGCCCGCCCATCAGGTCGATGTTGTGTCCGTTTCCTTGCCGTCGGCCCGATGGCCTAGGCCCTTGTTGGGGTGGATGCTGTTGGTCGGGTCGCCCCCATTCATGTGGCCACACGCTACTCCCAGCGACGAACAGAGGGCTATTAAGGTCAGGGTAAGGAGTGTCTTGGCGTGCTGTTTTATCCCAAATGACATGGGCGTCCTGTTTGTACGGTCAAGCATACAGCCCCTATCCCCCACGACGACAGCTTCCAACCCTAAAATAGGAGTTCTGGTATGCCACCCTGAGGGGTCTTTTGTTATTATCTCTTCTTTGCCACTTTCCCGTCCGCCAAACGGTCTGGGGCGTCACGCTACTGCAGCTTCCAGGACAATCACCGCGTCCTCGTCCGTGGTCACAACATCCGGCCCGAATCTGGTTCCGTCAGGAATTGTTATAAGGGTTTCGGTCTGGACCTGATCCCAAAACTGCGGAGGCTGGCTATGAGGACTTGGAGGCATTCTTATGATTTTAATATTATTCTCCGGTAGGTCGTGTGTATATCAGAGAGGGGTTCCGTGTCAGCACATTTCCTACACTTAGCTCGCCCTCCTCATGGCCTCCCTGTAACCAGAAAATTCGTCTTCAATTTAGGGCGTTGATAAATCGCGACTCCCGACGGAGGAAGCTTGCGTCTGAGAGCCAACGGTTGCCCAACTTATCGCCGGCAAAGATCTTTATTCCCGAACAAAAAAATCCTCCTACAGACATGAGCATTTTTTCTATTATCAACAAAATCCTTATCCAAGAATCTTCCCATCCTGGTAACAATTTATACTGGTGACTTTCCTTTAAATGTTATAAATTTTATCTTTGTGCTTTTCATAAATCAGAGCAAGATCCATTCATAAAAGATATTTCAAAAAAACATATTTTTATTTCATATTTCTTTGAGATCAAGAAAAAACCCCTATAAATTCAGTAAATTTTATCTAAACTAGAAATCGGCCAACTTTTGAACGATAATCCTAGGGAAAAGATTCGTCGCCGGCGAACAAAGTAAGCTGCTGTCGTGCAACTGTACATGTCCCGTCTGAAGCAAGAACTTTTCAAATTTATTACCCCCTCGTACGTTCGGCTTTCCATGGGGAGCACCCTCCCTCGGGGTGGTCGCGGCTTAGCCGATTTTACACAGCTAAACGGTTGAGCCTCGTTTTAAACTTTTTGTTTCGTTTTAAACGGATTAGTTCAAAGAGGGCGAGTCGTCCGGGACTTCCCTTTCCCTATCTTTTCTGTAAATGCTAATCCTCCACTTATTAAAAAGAGGTGGGTTTTGCATGCTAACAAATACAATTGAACTATATTATTGACTTATACAATTGTGACATCATTTTATTTAATGTCTTTAGAAATACGAAAAATTATGCACACTATTTAGATGTAGGCTAAATAGGCATGCTGCCTTGGTCTAAAGAGAACGATTTTTTTGTTGATGTTATATCTATTTCGTTTTTATATTTAGTATTTATTCTGCCTAATCCTTATGTATATATTATCTATTTTTCTGTGTATGTATTTTAGTTTTAACTTTACGATATGGGAAAATGCCTGTGGAACTTTAATATTAAAAAAATTATAGATTCTTGGCGTAGAATTACTCTTCCTCTGGTCAGTCTGTCTGCCAACAATGAATGAACATCATTTGAGTTTAATTCGGGCGAAGAGCAGAAAATTTTTCAACGGTAAACATCCTTCTCTCAATCTAATTTAATGTTGGAAATGCCAGTGACTTGCAGTCCCTGGTAGGAAGAACGAGCGTTAAAATACCACTCTACCTCATTTATTTTAATCATATTTAAGAGTGAATTGAGGGGCTGTGGCGTTTTGTAGCTTCAATTTCTGTGAGATTTGATGTACATAAAATAATTGTTGAAAGGACCAGTTGAACATTTTTTATTTTTTCTCTTTCCTCATGTTTCTCTTTCACCCTATCTCCCTTTCAACCTCACGAATAAATTTTCAAAAAATTAGTCAGAATTGTTCCCTAGTACTCCGGACCACACCCATATTGGCACTCAGAAATGTTGTTGGAGAAGAGGTGACGGTTTATACGACTCAATAATATTTTTTCAAAAATTGTGCTGAGAAATTTGATAGGTCTATAACTAGTAAAATTTTCTGGTGACTTTCCAGGTTTCTGATTATATATGACCTTGGATTCTTTCCATTAGGATGAAAAGTGGCCGTGAAAAAACAATGAACTAAAAAGATGAGCAAGAAAAACTAGTCCTTTCCTAGGTAAGTTCTTTAGCATCGTATTTGTAATCACGTCAAAGCTAGGAGATTTCCTACTTTTACGAGAACATATAATCGATTTTTATCTCTTTAGGAGAAACAAGAGAACACTGGGAAGGGACGGTGGTTGAACTCAACATGTAGTTTTCTACACTTTTAGAGATACACGTTTGAAGGAATTTGGGTCCTTGATTGGTAGTTAGATGGCGAACTGAGGAGAAGTATTCACCCATTTTTGCGACTTTTTCCGTTTCCTTTTTGCTTGGTGTACCATCGAATAATATTTGCGTTTCATGACTCTCTTTTTTATTTCTGAATGTTTTAACTATTTTCCATATTGAGTTGACGTTAGGTTTAACAGATTTTAAATTGTTATTCCACTTCCTGTTTCTCCAATTATATATTAGGTCTTTAAAAATTCGTTGAAGATAGTTAACTAATCTCCTCCTTGCGGGATGCCTACTATTTCAATGGAGCCTCCTCATACTGTTTTTAAAAATTATCAGTCTCCTCAAGTTTTCTGGAATTGTATAAGGATTTTTGTCGTTTTGTTCGTTTTCGAAATTGCAAAGTTTGCGGAATCTTGTATAACTTTAGTAAAGGAAGTAATCTCCGATTCGAGGTTTTCGATATTGTTTGTTTCAGGAGGTGAGATCAGCTGAGAGTTTATAAATTTCCTAAAAAGAAACCAGTCAGCTTTAGAGAAATTATATTGCATCTTGTTTTTGTTGTCTGGAATAAATTTTTGAATTTGTAGAATGACCAGATTGTGATCAGAGCTAAGTATGTCCAGGCGTACAGGGAAAAGATGGTTCCTGATGTTTTTTAAGAGAAGGTTAATTGTGCTCGGGTTTCTGGGAGAGCCAGGAAAGTAGATGTGCGAATCGGGGGAGGCAAGTTCTACATTGTTGTTTATGCAGTAATCATAAAGAATATTGCCACTTGTATTGTTAGTTTGATTATTCCATGAAATATGCTTGGCATTCAGATCACCCATGACTATTATAGAGCAGTGTGCATTTAATACCGATGATAAATCAGTCTCATGTAATTTTTTATGTAGTGGTTTGTAACAAGCTACAACTAAAACTGACTTTTTACTTGGGTGAAGCGTGACAGCATTGTGTTCAAATGAGCTACATATCGGAAGGGTAAACAGTTCGTGGTTTAACTCCTCACGTATTGCCAGAGCCACATCACCACCATTTCTATTTCGGTCGTTACGATAAACTTTATATTTCGATATTTTGAGATCAATGTTCGGGGTAATTTTCGTTTCGACTAAGCCACAGACGTGAACACTTAATTCCAGTAGGATTTCACTTAGTTCATAAACCTTTGTTACAATAGAATGAGCAATTATTACAATTCAATTAGCACAGAATAAAATTATTGTAGTCATTTTGCATTGCCATTATTAGATACATATGCGTGGTTAATATTCACTACTCTGAGAGAGAAAAAAGTACCTCTGCCACAATAACAATTTTTGAAATAGTATCAGGTGCACTTTTTTCAGTACATAGTGTAGCCTAAAAGGAAGAGATTAAGGTAGAGGATATTAACTGATCCTAGACATTCACGAAGAAGTGATGAGAGCGGTTGAGGGTCCTGGCTGTCTTCTCCTTGGCTTTTATTTACTTTTGGCCATCTTGGAAGTTCATACGGTTGTGTCGACTTCTTCTCAGTATTTCCTCTCAGACAAGAGAATTGATTTGGTGTAAACGAATAAATGGTATTTTTCGCCAGTCTATATGCGTTTGAACTTGAGGTGCGTTGTAATCTCCTGGCTTCAATGGTTTTGTACACTTCACATTCTTTATCAGAGGAGTTATGCCCACCGTTACAGTTAACGCATTTGGGGTTTGAATGAGCTCCTGAAGAATACAGACAATCTTTCGTTGACTGTCCTTTGGCACATAGTCCACATCTGGGTATTTTGTGGCAAAAATTGGAAAGATGACCGAAGCTTTAGCATCGCAAGCATCTCAGTATCTTAGTTTTATTCTTATACTTTTGCCACTGTACTCGACAGTGACAGATTGTTTTTTGATCTAGAACCGATTTAACAAAGAGTACTCTTCTCAAACGTGACAGAGAAGACAGGTAAGTTTTTGTTTGTTTGTTGCCTTCAAGAATCTTGGCACATTGCTGAACCTCTACAACTTTCAATCCTTTGGACAAAAGGTCATATTTAATTTTTTTTTCAGCTGTGAGAAAAGCTGGTAGGTAAATTCCCATTTTAGGGCCATGTTGTGTCTTAGAAGGGTAGGTGTCCTATTGAACTTTTGCTGCCTTTAAGTAATCGCAGAAGAATTGATAGTCTTATTCGAACTCAGTGTAAGCGATAACTTTTTCGCTTTTGAATTTAAATTCAATATTAATTTCTAACATAGTCCAGCGAATATTATGAAGATGTGCGTAGGCTACGATCGAAGGCATTTGGGATGTTCAGTACTTCTTAATGGTCGATTTATAATCTCTGTTAACATATTCATCTTCGTCTTCCGACGAAAGAGGCGTAAATTTATTAGACGTTTTTGCATGGTACGTATTATTGGTAGAAGGAGATAACTTTTGTTTTTTGGATTTATGCCTCTCAACGACTACAAAGTTGCTCAGGATCGTCAGAGATGTTATCGTTTCTTTTTCGGGCATTCTTTTTGTGAACTACCAGCTGATAGATTGGGGGCTGGGAGATCCCGTCGGCAGAGGATCACCCCCACCAGTGCCCTTACAGCAACACCAGGATCCAACACCTCACAGAGAGCTCCTCGTATTCCATTCGAGAGAAATCTTTCATCCACAAATAAAATCTATTTACTCCAGAGGCGTCTCTCCGACGGCGAAAGAGTAACGGATTGTTGAAATTACGAAAACAAATTGAGTTTAGGTAAAGGAAAAAGCAAATTGCGTTAGCGCAAAACTCGGACCAATGTGGCCTTGGCCGCTGCTGGCCGACTGACGGAATCAGCCGAAATCGACCGAATAGACCCAAGTCGACACATGTTAGTATGTATGTACGTACATGTACGAATTTGAGCCAATATAAATCCAAATCCATTCCAAAATCCATTTATTTCATTATTTCTCTTATTTTTTCTATCTATCGGTCTCTCGCTTTTCTCTCTAGCTATATCTCCCCCACCCACTGTCACTGTTTTCTTTTTCTTTTCCACTTATTGTTCACTTTCATTCTTTCTTTATTTCTAAGTAGATTTCAAGATGAATCTGAAGTAATGTCAATCAAATATTCGTATTTACTTGAAGGTAGATTGGTTGGCTTTGCTGAAACAGAAAACGGTTTGACGACCGATTCATAGTCTCGCAGCATTGTTTCTCGAACTGTTGGGAAGTAGTGCTCAAAGGACATCTCCAAACTTTGAAGGTGTTCGTTCAAATATTTCATCAATCAACCGTGCCGTTCCCAAGCTCCAGTTATTCTTCAAAAAATCATTTAACAAAAGAAAACACTACACGTCTGTCTTTAATCTCATCAGATTAAACCCAAAACTGAATTTTTCTTTTGAAGCGCTGTCTGTGTCATTAGCGTCGAAAGTTGTGATACTCTTCCCTAGAAAAGAAAGACTCATCTCATTCATTTTAATTGAAATGTCTGCTAAATACGACCGTATACCATTGCCATTTTTCATCACTGAAAACTTTGGCCAATTTGACATTGTGGTCCATCAAAAAGATAAGGCTTCAGAACGCCTCTCAGCTCTCGTGCCCACTCGGCGGACCATCGACGCCGCGGCACGAGCCCACCTCTCCAAAATCTCAGCAGGGCAAGTTCTTCTAGGGACGGTAACCCTAGGGTGAGTATAGTGTTAGTGTGCTTATGTCAGAGTTGGTGTATGTGTATGTACGTGGACGCAGTTTACCCAAATGCCTGGGAGCAATGAAATAAATGAATTCCTATAGGAAATGAAAACGAAAACGTGAAACAGAGGGTCAGAGAGAGAAATTTATATTTTACCAAGATTTAACAGACCCAGTCCTAGTTAATAGTTCATCAAATTATATTTCACTTTCACTATCATCACTAGGCTGAGACCTCGGAGATCTCTGGGGCATTGGCTCTTTAGCCTACGGGGGAGTTTTGAGGGGATTCCAACATGATGAGTGATGTTGGGTGAATGAGTAATGTTGACTGAATGTGATTTTTGATGTAATAATAAGATAAGATACTTGTTTCTTGAAGTTGAAAGAAATCGTTTTTTCTGAAGATTTTAGTTTCGGACGTTTCGATTCGTTGTACGTTGGAACGCCTTGCTAAGGTCGAAATGTCAAGTCTAAAGGTTCAAATTTTGGTGACTTGATTTTTCGACAACTATTCTTGAAACGGTATTGTGAGCATCAGTTCTTGACGTTTACGTTTTGTATTTCGTTTTCAAAGTTGGTTTTGCTGTCGAGGTACATCCCAGTATCTAACATGGTTCGTAGTAGGAAGTTGATGGGAGAGCAGGTTCGAATTCCTTAGTCCTTACCGTAGTCCTACTTCTGCTGTACCGATAATTATGCATTTCAAAAAATCGACCAAGAAAAAGC